TTCGGAAGAGCATGGCACCCGAGCGCTCCATCCACCCATTCAAACAGAACAGGCCGTGAAGTGTGCTGACCCTCGTAACTTTTGCTAACTTGGCTGTAAGTTCGTTATACAGGAGTCGACGAAGCCGTTCGCGAGAAAACTAGTTAGGGTCCCCCACCGCACATCAAAAAAGATACCACGTGCGGTCGGTTTTTCATATGGCTACAGCTACGATGCTAAAACTTCACCTGACTGAAGAAGTGCCAGGCAGAAACAACGAATCCGAGAAGACTAGCCTGAAACCACGCCAGTGGCCGCAAATGGCATCGTCAGCTTAAGCACTTTTCTATCTTTTCGCCACGCCTGCCGCCTGTCTCGTCGTAGACGTTTTTCGTCAGGTCCAAAGCGGTAGCAGCATATGCAACAATAGCCCTTGACCCCCACAGTGATCATGATTCAGTTATGAGGAACAAATCCCAAACAAGGGTAACATCGCGAATCCTACTGAAAGCACAGGTGTTCGAACTATGACAGACGAGACTTAATGCAACCAGTCGAGCGACTGTTGAATGACTCTCGCATATGTGAGATGAAATGGCGAACGGAGGCCTTTCCGACCCCGTTTTCCTCTGTGATCCGACTTGTTTCTGATCTAGGGATATCTGGGGCTTTTTCTTCAATGCGCGGGATGCACATAATCACGGGAACCCGTGTTTATTGCTGTAGTTGCTTTATGTTGGTTTTCGTTGTCGTTGCGCGGACCCAGGAAGCCAGTGAGTGAGTGAACCCCGGCTCCCGCAACGACAGAAAAAAAGTAAGCGCGCACCCGCAACGACGCAAAAACACAAAAAAAATAAACGCGCCCCCGCGACGACAGCAAAAACAAAAACGTGCCCCCTGGGGAGGACAGCAAAGAAAAAAATACACGCGCCACCGCGATGACAGCAAAAAGAATGCACCCACCCCGCAACGACAGCAAAAACTAAACGCGTCTGCGCGACGACAGCAAAAACAACGACAGCAACAAAAATAATCACTCTTCCTCATAATCACGCAGCGGAAGCACGTTGCTGTTGCGCAGCTTGGCCCTCGAAAGGACTGGCTATGCGAGCAGGGCCGCTTTGGCTTGAAGACCCCCGACCCGAAGATCAAGGCAGGGCAGATGGAAACAGGTGGAGGAGGTTCAGGTTCCAAGTCCTGCAGAGGGAGAAGCCACGGCGTCAGAAGCTTCTCTATGCGGTTTGGAGGGAGATTGCCGCCAGGCCAATGGCCGCGGCGTCTTCATCCACCGTGGTCGCAGCAAGGAGGTGTGGCAGTGGCCCATAGTGGCCCAAAGCTCGAAACTCCGGCAGCGCGTGGGCCCAGGTGGATCCCGAGGTTGTCGCAAAGCTGGATGAGGTTCGCAAGGCGAAGGGCATGACACCTCGGGCCGTTTCCGACGAGGACAGGTTTGAAGTGCAGGTGCTTCTCACCAGCTTGAGGCTTTTGCAGCTTCCAGTTCCCCTGTCGAAAGCACGCGCACGCTCTCAGCAGATGATTGGCATGCAGCCGATGCAGTCGAGGAGATTTGCGAGAGGCTCTTCTTCTCCATGATCAACGAGGGCTTCAAGATCCTCGAGGAGACGTTGTGTCAGTTGTGTCGTCAAGCCAGCGATCCGTGCCTTCGTCAGCGCATCGGACAGGAAGGGTTTGTGGCCCGATCCTCGGACATCGACCTGGCCTACATCTACGGCTACGGTTTCCCCCCCGCCAAGGCCGG